AAAATTTTTCCAAGTTATAAATCATTATTTACTTAGTTTTATTGTAACCGGAGACAAAGTTCATTTCATACTCATTAAAATTAATTACTATATTTATCTGGATTATGATTGCAGATGCAAAAGAAGAAAATGGATGAAATCCCAATTTTTTTAAAAGCGAAATAATAAAGAAAAATAATTAAGAAACCAAAAATTTGCTGATTAACGGTGAAATTCGCTCAATAAAATCATTTTACGACACGTAATTCTTTGCAAATTAATGATGAGAAAAACTGGAAGGAGTCGACAACAAACTTTTTTTTTTTACCCCATTCTTAAAGAGGTTAAAAGCTATGCTTCTGAAGCGATCTCGCAACTTTAATTACGAATTTAATTGAAAGGTATCGGCTCTTTTAAGCAGCTCTTTTATAAACGTATTAATCTTCAGAGGGATTGTTGATAAAGAGGATGTACCAGAACCTTGTTAGTGGGAGAGGCTCCGTTCTAAATGGCCTTTCTTTCATTATAATATAATTAATACTAACAATTATTATGGCTTTATTATGGCAGAATATAATAAATTTATTTCGCCCCTACATAAATTATACAGATTAGCTTTAATATTACAATTCAACAACAAGAGCATTTAAGTATTCGACTCGATTTCCAGAAATCATTATTTAAGTTTAAATCAGGTGATCATCGATTAAAGTTTTCAGAAAGTCATACGATGTAAATTAGATTAAGCTTCATTCCTTTCCCGATTCTTTATTGATTTAAACAGCATCTCTACTATAAATATAAATTAGATAGATGTTAATGATCAAAACTTCCATTCGACCGAAAAATATTATTATTTAATATCATATAACATCAGATAGTATCATTAAACTGTGATAAAATGTTATTTTTTATATAAGGCTGCGAGGATTTTTTCTTAATTAATTAATTAAATATATATTAAAAAAAACATCTTTATTGATTTTATCGCTTCAAAGAAGATTAATGTAGTTGGATGATCAGATATAAAATTAAGGATTCTTATGAGAATAATGAATTATATTTTTACCTTACGTTTTTTTTTTAAATTTTAATTTCTTAATTTTTTTATAACCATAAAAATAATTAATTAATTATAATAGAAAAATAATTAAAA